ACAGAGACTAAATAAAAAGACTAAATACAGAGACAAAATAGACTAAATAAAGAGACTAAATACAGAGACTAAATAGACTAAATAAAGAGACTAAATACAGAGACTAAATGAAGAGACTACATACAGAGACTAAATAGAGAAAAAAAGAGACTAAATAAAGAGACTAAACACAGAGACTAAACACAGAGACTAAATAGAGACTAAATGCAGAGACTAAATAAAGAGACTAAATGCAGAGACTAAATGCAGAGACTAAACACAGAGACAGAGGCAGAGTTAGACCAGTTTGTTTCCTTATTTTAAATAATTATTCATCATTGTTCGTGTGGGACTCTGGTTTCCTGCCACAGACCAAAAACATGCATGTTAGACTGATTGGTAACTCTAAATTGTCCCTAGGTGTGAGAGAGAGAGTGAATGGTTGTTTGTCTCGTTTGTCTCTATGTGTCCCTGTGATGGACTGGAGACCTGTCCAGGGTGTACCCCGCCCCTCGCAGAGTGATTGCTGGACATGGGCACCGGCGACCCCCGTGACCCAAAATGGAAGAAGCGGGTAAAAGATAATGGATGGATGGATGTTGGTGTGGGTTTAGACCTGAACATGGACTCGAGCCAGCAGTCATAATCTGTATATTACCATAATTGCAGGTGTATAAGCCGCTACTTTTTTCCCTCACGCTTTGGACTCTGCAGCCTGAACACAGGAGTAACTCATTTATGTATTTTTTTATTTTATTATTTTACTTTGACAGGCAGCTGAGCTTCCTGCCACCGTGTATAATTTTCTCTTGACACTCCTGGGTGCTCATAAAGCTGTCCAACACCCACCCCTCTTGGGGGCAGGTTTTAGTGACAGACAGAATGAACACCACAGGTATTCATGACAGGAACGTCTGTGGTTCCAATTTTACCATGAAATGCCCATAATCCTGCTCTGGCCATGTGACCAGAAATGACGTGAATGACCAATAAAGTACATACTCTCATTGAGTCACGAGAACACACCCTCAATGTAGACGTGCTGGACAGTTCAGCTTCTGTAAAATCAAACTGTTGCCAACAAAACATTTAAGATGTTAAAGATAGACCATCGAGGCATCTCAGATTTACGAAACGAACAGGACTGTCCATCAGAGCACGAACGACTACACGAAACAGTTTCACTTTAACAGGACAGCGGAAAATTCCACTGGAATTCTTTTTATTTACCAGCTGTGATAAAGGCATAGTCAGAAAAACCACACATTTATCATACAGTTTGTAACCTTTTTACTGTATATTACTGTTACATATTTAACTAAAAGTTTTTTTTTTAATTTATGTGTACTGTATACTCTTTATATTTGCTTCCATTAGGTAAAGCTATTAAACAGCATGGGATAAATTTCCATTGTTATGCTGATGACACACAATTATATTTGTCCATTAAACCCAATGAATCCAATCAGCTACTTAGACTACAAGCATGTCTTAAAGGCATAAAAACCTGGATGACCCTTAATTTTCTCCTGTTGAACACAGACAAGACTGAGGTTTTGGTTTTTGGACCCGAGCACCTTAGGAATGAATTTTTCAGTCTTTCTCCTCCTTAGATGGCATTAATCTGGCCTCCAGCTCTAATGTTAAAAATCTTGGTGATATTTTTGATCAGGACATGTCTTTTATCCCCCACATTAAAACGTTACTAGAACTTCCTTCTTCCACCTGCATAATATCACTAAAATTAGAAACATCTTATCTAAAGATGATGCAGAAAAACTGGTCCATGCATTTGTCACGTCTAGACTGGACTATTGCAATGTTTTATTATCTGGGTGTCCAAATACGTCTTTAAAACGTCTTCAGTTGATCCAAAATGCTGCTGCCAGAGTCTTAACTGGAGTTAGTGGGAGAGATCATATTTCTCCAGTTTTAGTTTCTCTCCATTGGCTCCCTGTCAAATACAGAATAGAATTCAAAATCTTACTTCTAACCTACAAAGCCCTCAACAACCTAGCTCCATCTTATATTACAGATCTTATTGTTCCATATTTTCCTAACAGAGCACTTCACTCTCAGACTGCAGGTTTACTTGTGGTTCCTAGAATTTACAAAAACAGAATGGGAGGCAGATCTTTCAGTTATCAGGCTCCTCTCTTGTGGAACCAACTTCCAATCTCTGTCCGTGAGGCTGACACATTATCCAGTTTTAAAACTGGGCTTAAGACTTTCCTTTTTGCTAAATCCTATAGTTAGGGTCGGCTTGGGTTTCCTGGGCTGTCCCTTAGTTATGCTGCTATAGGCTTAGACTGCTGGAGGACAAACTGACCACACTTTTCACTCTGCTACTGTCTTTACTTACTCTGCTCAACCTGTTTTGTATTTGTAATTACTTTTTCTATCCTTAACATGTTTTTTGTCTTTCAGGTTCACCTGGACCTGTACCTGGACCTACCATTCTGTGTTCGTCTGTCTCTCCTTCCTGTCCTCTCAACCAGCCAGTCAAAGCAGATGGACGCTTGTCCTGAGCCTGGTTCTGCTGGAGGTTTCTTCCTCTAAAAGGGAGTTTTTCTTCCCACTGTTGCCACTGTGTTTGCTCAGGATGGGAGACTGCAACGAAGCCAAGATTCAACTTGTCTGCTGGATTCCTTAGATAGAGAACTTTACTAATTAGCTTTTATGTTTGTGAATGTTCCTGTAAAGTGCCCTGAGACAACTTTGTTGTGATTTGGTGATATATAAATAAACTGAATTGAATTACGGTAAATATCACTCACAGCTGAGAGAACGGGAGGGGGAGTTCCCCCTCTCTCCTGTGAGTCTTGACTTTAAGTCGTAAAATTTATGTAAAAAGCACATTTTAAAAACAGCAGCTGTGACCAAAAATGTGCTCAACAATAAAAATCAACGGCAGTAATTCAATTAACATTTACCGTTACCAACTTACTGGTATGCATTTTGCTGTAGTTCACTGCTGTTCAATGACATGACCGGAAAGAGACAACAGGTGAACAGTGAAACTGTGGGTAAAATCTACCAGTATGTGAAGTTTTAATACGGTAATTTACAGGTGTTTCTACTGATTACCTGTTCTTCTTAGTGAAGTTGTTTTCTGTTAATTCTGTAGGATGAAGGTTATTCAGTAGATTAAACCATGAGTGAGAGAAGCTGATCCATCTGATCAGTCTGCCTGTGTGTGAAAGTAAACCTACTGGTGACGTCTATGTGGCGACACCTGGTGGTTGACTCTTGTACTACAAGAGCTGCACGTGTATTTCAGGCGCTGCACTTTCTGAAATCATTATGTGGACACCTGCGGCGTATACACAGGTGCGTCTTATGTACAAAATTGTGTTTTAATTTAAATTCTGAGCGGCTTACACTCCAGTGCATTCTATAGATCAGCAATTACGGTAATAATAACAAAAACAGTTTTTAAATGACATCTAAACAAACTAGCTGACATGTGAGACTTTAGATCAGCCGGTCCCAGAGTTGTGGTCAGGAGTCCAGTGTGGGTCATGAAGAGCCACAGAAATCAAAATATAATTAAAAATGATTGACAGCGGTGTTTTTAGCTATAACTGCTACAAAGATGGAACAAAGATTGATTAAAAGAAGATATATGATGCATGCTCAATAATCCAGGTAGAAAAATCCTAAAAGTCAGGTCCTCTGGACGAGTTCAAAAAACAAAAATATTGTAGAAATGTTTGGTCTTTCAGCCAAAAGACTTCTTCAGTCTTCAGACTGACTTCAGAAGGTCTTTTGGATGAAAGACGAAATATTTCTACAATATTTTTGTTTTTTGAACTCGTCCAGAGAACCTGACTTAACTTTCTAGGAACATTTTTGATGGTTGATGGGGTTATTTGTCAAACAGGTTTTATCAAAATATATTTAAGTTGGGAGGCACAGTGTCTCAGTCGAAACAGCTGCTGCCTCTATGAGTGGAAGTCGCCAAATCAAATCCTGTCCAGCCTTTCTGGGTGGAGTTTGCATGTTCTCTCCGTGCTGCGTGGGTTTTCTCCAGGTACTCCAGGTTCCTCCCACAGACCAAAAACATGCATGTTAGACTGATTGGTAACTCTAAATTGTCCCTAGGTGTCAGAGAGTGAATGGTTGTTTGTCTTGTTTGTCTCTATGTGTCCCTGTGATGGACTGGAGACCTGTCCAGGTGTCTCTGTGATGGACTGGAGACCTGTGTCTCTGTGATGGACTGGAGACCTGTCCAGGTGTCTCTGTGATGGACTGGAGACCTGTCCAGGTGTCCTGTGATGGACTGGAGACCTGTCCAGGTGTCTCTGTGATGGACTGGAGACCTGTCCAGGTGTCTCTGTGATGGACTGGAGACCTGTCCAGGTGTCTTTGTGATGGACTGGAGACCTGTCCAGGTGTCTTTGTGATGGACTGGAGACCTGTCCAGGTGTCCTGTGATGGACTGGAGACCTGTCCAGATGTCCTGTGATGGACTGGAGACCTGTCCAGGTGTCCTGTGATGGACTGGAGACCTGTCCAGATGTCCTGTGATGGAATGGAGACCTGACCATGTGTCTCTGTGATGACCTGTCCAGGTGTCATGTGATGGACTGGAGACCTGTCCAGGTGTC